ATGTGGATTACATACATAAAACAGGGAAAGAGGGATAGGCAAAGTAACAAGAAATAGGAAAGAGCATAGATTATGCATAAAGGGGTTGCAAGGTTGGCAAGGCAAAATAGAGGAATTGAGAGAAAGATTATAATAATATCAATGCTACTAAAAGATTTAGAGTTTTCTTTTTAGTAAAGTTAGTCAAAACCTTAAGAAAAAAACTTTAAACTTTCTCTTTAACCTACTGCTTTATATATAACTAAAAGCTTATTAAAAAGTTTAATAAAATTAAACAAGTCATTTCTTACTCATACTATTCAGATATGTAGGACTAGAATATTCTCAGTAAGAAAGAGATTTAAGAGACTTCAGAAAAAATATAGGCTTTCACTTTAAGAGTGGGAATGATGAGTAAAAGACAAGTTTATAACAAAAATCACCCTGCCTTTTTTTTCTTTACTCCAGATTATTCCTATGAAGAAGTCACATCTTATTGGTTACAAGTGGAAGAATTCTTTGGAAATTATCAGACTAAATTGATTTATTTCAACTAAAATTGTTGGAAGTGATAAGCTATAATTATCACACTTGAGGAGGAAAGGACAGCTGACTGAAATATATTACTTAATTTATTAGGGTATTGTTTGGATTTTAAATTCTCAGTGTTTTGGTTCCTAAGTCCTCAAAAACTATGGCAGTTTTTTGTAGTTCAGATTCCCTCTGCCTCCTTTCCCCCTCCCCCAGAGAAGACAGTATTTTCTACCTGGTCCATAAATTAAAGTTCCCCAGGTAGTTAAGAAATCACTTTAGCCCATTGAGACTCAGTAATTACAATATCTATGTGTCTATATAAGAAGTAAAGGAGTCTAAAACTTAAAATTAATTATTTATAATTAAATAATGTAACAGTTCCAAAGTTACTACAGTTATTTGCTAACTGTCTTCATATAAATCTGTGGGATGAACAGGTAAATATGTTTATTTTTATGGATGTATGTTTATGTTTGTCTTTATGATGGGTACTTGATATGGAGATTTCATAACTCTAAGCAACCACGTAGGATAAGTGATTCTCCAAACAGGAGTCCTTGAGAAAATGAAAGGGCAGCTGTTTACTGAAAATACTTCCAACTTGACTCAACCATTGCTAAAAATGGCTTACTCCTCCCAAGGATATAAAGGAGGCAAACTATTAGAAGACCATGGATCTTGAAAAGGGCAGGGTTTCAGTGAGTGGCCAGAGACATCCCATGTCAGCTATCAGGAAGACAAAGAGAGGCAGTAGCTACAGTGGGGAAGGCTGCTTTCCACAAAGCTCAGATGGAGATAAAAACGAAAAGTAGCATCTTAAAGACCAACAATTTTGTTAGGACATAAGCTTTTGTGGATTACAACTCATTTTGTCAGATGCATGAAGTGAAAGAAAAGGAAACAGAAACTAGGGATTCAGAAATGGAAGTGTTACATCAGAGCTAATTCTATCAAGGTGAGTGATAATTTTCCTAAAGAGGAAAATTACTTATTGTAATCAGAGAGGGATTCTCAGTCCATATTCAGACCCATTCTGATGGTGTCAATTTAGCATATGAATTCCAGCTCCTCAGTTTCATGTTGCATCCCGTTTTTGAATTTTTTTTCTAGAGGATGCCAACTTTTGAGTCTGTAGCTGAGTGTCCAGGGAGATTAAAATGTTCCAACATGCCCTGGAGAAAAGCTACTCTTTGAAGATACTTTTGCTATGCCCCAGACAGGTTCTGGGGTGGCTGAGGAGATGCTATTTGCTATGCAGCTTTCTAGATTCATCAGTAATATCTCAGGAGTCCAGGGAGATTACTGACAAAGTCAAGAAAGTGAATGGTACATACTGCCTCCTCAGCCACCCCATAACCTGTATGGGGTCATAATAACTGGGGGTATGGTGGCTACGGCAGATCCTCGCCTGGCCTATGATAACAGCTGCCCAAGTGAGCCGGGCCTCCCTCATTACCGTGTCTAGGAGTGTCGGACACCCAATCCTTGAGTGTTGGAACCACACCGTTCCACCCAGAGTGAGGTGCAGAATGCCAGGCCTGTCTAGGGGTGCACTTGAAAGGGACTAAAGGGATCCGAAGCACAGGTTGCCCTGTAACTGTGAGAGCTTTTAAAGGATTAAGCATTTGTTTCCTCATTATTCAGCTGTATCTACTAGCTTATAAATGAGAAGAAAAAAATGGTCATACTGGGTCAGACCATAGGTTCATCTAGCCCAGTGTCCCGTTGTCTGACAGTGGTCAAAGCCAGCTGTCCCAGAGGGAATGAACAGAACAGGGAAACATCAAGTGATCTCTTTTCCTGTCACACATTCCCAGCTTCTGGCATAAAAGGGCAATTATACTCAATGACCCTGTAGCCACTTCCAACATACTGTATTCTTCTCTGTAACTGCTGATTCTTGGCCTTGGCAATCTGCTCTTCTTGCCTCAGTGTGAAAAGCCCCTACATTTTACCTGAGAGCTGTGAAACAAAACATTTTAGAAAATGAGGTTTCTCTTCAAAAATTTATCTCTTCTTGACCATGGGCCTATTTTGAGCCAGTCTGCAGTTCTTTTCAAAGTCCTTATACTGGGGTAGCTCTGGCTGCAGCACTTAATAGGCTGTATACAGCCTCTTTTCCCCCCCACTTGCTCACAATTTCTTTATAATAGCTGTTGCAGGAGATGGGGCATTAGAAATGTACCTAGACCTGGGTATAGGCTTATAAGGGGAATTTAGAAAACTGAGACTGGTGGTTTCTTGTTCAGCAAGAAGAGAGAGAATTGGTACTGCCTAAAAAGAATCAATGTACAAGTGGGTGGGGTTTCGGAAGCTCCATAGGGAAAGGGGAAATTCTCTCACAGCCCTGTCAGTTTCCACCTTGTGGTTCCTAAGAATATCAGCAGTAACTGTCCCACATATTAACATTTCAAACAGCCTCTATTGAGGCAAGCCACCCGTGATTGCAGGTCTGACAACATTTCTGGGACTGGCTTTACCAATGTCCATTTGCACAGACCAGCTAACTGATTTATCCCATTCTGAAGTATTTTTAAACACCTCTAGATATTATTTCCCAATGAAATTACCTGAAGAATGAAAACTTTGCCAGAAAATCCCCAGGGTTAATCTCCTGCAAAAACTAGAACTATCACTTAATCACAATTAATTCAAGTGATTAATTCAAAACAAAGTAACTTGATTAAAAAGTTAATTGTGATT